ACTCTTTGAATTAGACAAGAGAGACTTTCATGAGAAATGTGAGGAAAGGAATGGAACTTAAGGAAGGAAGAAGAATTAAATGCCTTGACATCCATTCCCAAACCCAGAGATATGCATCTGATTTTGTACCTATTTAGCTACTTGCATGCCTCAGTAAAGGCACAAAATTCTGATTTTTTGTGGTGTCTTTTGGAAACTGTTTCCAAATGAAAACAGAATAAGACAGAAGAGAAAGAAAATTTGATTTTATTCTAAGAATTTGAAACTGATTTAATTAGAACTGGGCTTTTCCCCCTTTCCTTTCCTTTCCTTTCCTTTCCTTTCCTTTCCTTTCCTTTCCTTTCCTTCTTTTTTAGAACTAGGCCTTATTTTTTACCTTTATACTGTCTTACTTTTGGTTTGAATATGAGCAAGTATATCCAGCCTTTATGTCTCTGTTTCCTTATCTCAAATTGGAGATACTAGCAACTTCCTTCTAGTTTTGCTGGAGGCAATGAACTTGCAATAAACTGCCTGTAGAGACTTGGAAAAAGTATAAAGAGCTGTATAAATAAAAAGAATTGAGGTATTATCATTAATAAGTGTGATTAACAATAAACAGTATTACCTTGAGTAGTACATAATAAATGTTTTAAAATGGTGTTTACATTCTAGAACCTGGTATATATTCTTAAGGGGTGAATCAACTAGTTAGTACAATGAGTTCCACACACTTTTATCTGACTCTGTTTATTCTTTTAAAAAATGCTAGAGCCAACTTGGCTAATGTTTTTTTAAATTTTTGTTCGATGTATTTTGGAGGAGTCACACGATTGATTACTTCTATAGATGACTTTTCACTAATAAATAATTCTGTAGTGTGTTTTCATCTAACTTCTTCTTGACTATGATTTTTTCCTATGTAGCATGTTGAAGGGTAAAACCTGAAATTTCTGGATTCCTGGATTATGTTTTGCACTCATTCTTTCAGAGTATACAAGGCCAAAAATGTTATTTTACATTCAGTCTTAATTCCTGTTGTGTTGATTACATTTAAAAATCTGATTTAAAAACTCTGATTTTATATAGTTTTATATATTTTACCATTTTGGCAACATTAACTTATTGATTACACTGAAGTACTTAATTGAGGTATATATTGTTATGGGAAAATAATATTTAAGGGATAGTTTTGTGTGTTTGTTTTTACTTTTGGTCTTTTAGTTCCAGCGTGTTGTCCTTTTTGGTTTTGTTTTATTGCTTTTTTCTTTAATTTTGCTTACCAGAGCCAAAGCCTTAGTAGAAGAACAACGCCTTTTGTTCCTAGGGTTCAGGTAAAGGCCTTGTCTGCCTGATAGAAACTAAAGTTGTGTTTTAACCCTTATTTGTATGTTTTTGGAAAATGCGTAGTAGGAAACTTTTTTTGGTATGTTGCTCCAAACCATAGTATTGACTTTCAAATCATTTTATAAGCCAGCTTGTAAAATTCTGCATGGAGATTAAAATACAATAAAAATTTAAAGAGACAATCTTTGTTAGTGATTTTATATGATCTGCTGAATGCTAAAATTTGATAGGTTTCAGACTGCACTTATGTGTAGAATATTGACAAAACTAGCTAATTTTGTGCTGTTGCTATTTTTCTTTATTGCACTAAGGTTTCTGTCTCTTTAAATCATTCATTATATTACTTAATCCGTGTTCTCTTGCATTTTCCAAGCAACAACTCCTTGAGGAGATTGGCAAATAAATTTGTACCTTATCTACAATATGAATTTTATGCATTTAATATATAAGGTTCAAGTTTGAAAAGTGTGTCATTTTGACAGAACAAACTTATAACTTAAATAACATGTGTTGAGTTTATGCTATTCCCATTTTATAATTGAAACGGGATTTAATTTTACTGTAACACATGGTACAAGTTGTTTGCCTCTTTTCATTAGGAAACCCTTACATGGTAAAGTAATGATGATAGAGTTTTTGTTTTAAAAGTAGTATTATGCTCTCCTTGCTTTGCTGCATGTTTTTTTGTTGTTGTTTTGAATAATACTAATTTAGTTTAAATTTTAAAAATTGCAGTTGTTCTAGTTAATATTATATAGTGTTAAATATTTACTTGTGCTGTTCAGGTTCTCCTTAGGGCATTTAAAAATAGGTCCTTGGTAAAGCTGGAGTGATTATTGTATGCAAACAATTAAAAACATGCTCCAAGATTTTTATGAATGAAATAATAGAGGTAAAATCAGAACTATGTCCTACCTAGAATTGTGGAAATCCACTTGTTATATTTTGGGGGAATCAACAGATATATTTGCACCTATCATTTGAAAAGCACAGATAAGAAATTTAGGAATGTGGCAAAATAATCTAGCTAATAAAATAATTCTGTTTTGATAATGTCAACTGGATAGCTATTAAAAACTTCAATGCAAGTCCTGTAATACAAAATGAAAATTAGGGCTGTTGATCAAATGCCTAGTTTAAGACAGTTTATTAAAAGTTGTAATTTTAACTTAAAACCCCCCAAAATTAAAATGTACTGTTTCTTATCTGTATATATTTTTAACATTTATATACCTGGGAAGTATAATTTTATAAACTGTAAAGTAAAATTGTAAAAATATGGAGGCCATATGCCAATTAATATCTGCTTGTATAAAAAATGAATATTATTAACAAATGATAATTTTAGTTATCTATGGCATAGGAAAATCTAAAAAGAATACTCCTTATCAAGCATTCGAAGTTATGTATCTCAAAAGCTTCTCTCTAATGATTTTAGAGGAGCAAAAATATCACCTGTGAAGATGGCAAATGCTTAGTCTCATGCCTCAAAAACAATTGACAGAAATCAATAACTTGCTCCAATCATTAGAGCTTAGTCTAATAATAATTATTATTGTTTCTTTGTTTCTAAGCATACAGTTTACCAGAAAAATGGTGGTTTTTTTTTTTTTTTAGCTTTTCAGAATCTTTTTCTCTTTGAAGTGCCTAATACTCACATCATGATCCTCAGAGAAGTGTTTTTAATTATCATGGACAAATAAAGCCGTAGGCTTTTTGATTGCTTAGAAAATAGAGAATATCAGAAATTAATGGGGTTTTTGGTCACACATTTTGGAAGAACCATGATACTATCTGACAACATCTCTGTTTCATCTCACATACAAGACATTCTTGTGTTTCTTACTTATTTTGTTGTTGTTTTCCCCTCCTGTCTTTTGCCAGAACAATGAGTTTTCTTTTTCCACTTACCCTCACCCGTATCTATGTTTTAATGTCACACAAGCAAATATTTGAACTTTTTTCCTCATCGCATGTTAAAAGTCTTCTGTTTTTCATTGTTGATCCCCTCGTCCAAGGCAGTGGTTCTCAAACTTGAATGTCCATGAGACTCATCAGTAGGATTTGTTGAAATGTGTTAACAGACAGACAACAACAAAATCCTGGGCCCCATTCTGATTCAGTAGGTGAGAGGTGGGCCACAGGAATTTGTAACTTTTTAACAAATAAGCCAGATATCCCAGATGTAAGGAGGTTAGTGAACCATATCTAAGAAACAAATGTCTAGAGACTGTACCTTGCAGCTCTATTAGGAGAATTTTGTTACACAACAGCAAGGTAAAACCTGCATTTTAAACATACGGACTTAATATAACATAAAGAGGAGTAATTATAATATTTAAAAATTAAATATTTCTTGCTGTTATTAGGAGGGCTACTTTCATTTGACCGAAAAGCATGATAAATATAATTTTATATACTCTTCTGGGCCATCAGTCTTCCTCTTCGGACTCAAAAGTTCTTGTTCAGTCTCTCATTCTCTAAGATACAAAGTGAGGGACTCAACAGAGACACATTAGATTTGGAACCAAACTACCAGTATATCATATATTCATATATATACATTTATGTGATTTTTATGCATATCTGTGTATGCTGTATATTTGTATATCTCAGAGCCTGGTCCAGACCTGACTGTCCATTTCAGGAGGGAAGGAATGACTGACATGAGATGCATATTTAATTTTTTTTTTAACTGCTGCAGATATTGTACATCCAAATTAAAGGAAAAAGTAAACTACTAAGAAGAATATAAGCCAAAAAACTAAGTATAAACCATATATAATTTTATTCCCAAATTTCAGATTTTGGATTCAATTTCAAGATAATGGTCAAAGATGTGATGAGTTTTGAACTAAAACGTGGACCAGAGCCATAGTTATAAATCCTGACAGGGTAGAATTAGCTAGCTAGGTGTGGGAGTGTGAGGTATGTGTGTGGGAGGTGACAGTTGTTAAATCAAATGAATTTAGCAGCTGGAAGTGAAGTTCCAATTCCTAATTATGTCAGGGAAGTTACTCACATTTTCTCATCTCGAATGGTAAAATAATACCCTTTTATTCTAAGGATGTAATATGTCTTCTCCACTAATGAAAAGGGGACTTTATGTCTGTGTAAGAAAAACCTATAAAGATGAATTTAGATGGCTTGAAATACAAACTCAAGGAGTCTATGGACTAAAGCCACTGGTAATTCCACCTTATAATTTTTAAAATACCTTTTCAAATGAACTGTTTTGTCTTTTAAAACATTTACTTAAAAATTCCCCATGAATGCCATAAAAGTAAGGTATCTATTCAATTCATTTGAGCATTTATTCTGAACTCACTCTCGTAGGGAAACTAAAATGAACCACAGTGATTCTTACAGAAAGATAGGGACACGTGGTCATTGTGTATTAAGTTCCTATGTAATTATTATGTGCATGTTAATAAGCAATCACATTAGGGTAACAAAAAGCTCATGTGATTTATCAATCAATCCAAAATAATCTGAATTATTTCCTCTATTCATTGAAGTTATTATAGCATATCCTTTTAACTAATTGCAATTTATGAAGCAACACTTATTCTGTGCTCATATTAGTGTAAGAGAATGGGGAAAGATTGGGAATGTAAACATTATGCTATGGTAGTAAAAGTTTGAGCTGATAAATGAATATTTTTGCTTTTCAGATAAAACTATGGTTTGACAAGGTTGGTCACCAATTAATAGTTACAATTTTGGGAGCAAAGGATCTCCCTTCCAGGGAAGATGGGAGGCCGAGGAATCCGTATGTTAAAATTTACTTTCTTCCAGACAGAAGGTATGGATATGAAATAAAAATAAATGTTCTAGAAAATAAATAAGAAATGTTAATGACAGTGGGTGTTTTAATTCTGTCTCATTTATTTTTATATGTCATGCACATCAGATATTTATGAAATTTAACATAAACATAATGATTCATAGATTCATGATTCATATGATTCATATGATTCTTCAAAATAGTGACAGTAAATCCTTTGAGATTGTTTTAAAACTTATATCAAATGCTATAGATGACTTTATTTTAAAAAATGATTATTTATTTTTGGTTGTATGGATTCTTAAATGATGCATATTTTCTTTTATCAAAATCAATAAAATTATTATGCTTTTTAAAATCAAATGCATTTTTAACACAGTCTACAAAAGCAAAAAACTGGAAATGATACTAAAAGGTATTCATCATGTTTCTTTTACAGCTTCTACATCCTCATACTAAGATATTATTTCTTTATATAATGTAAAATTAATGAATATGCTTTATATTTCATCACCCCATATCATCAAGAAAACCGTACCACTGGCCCTGGAATCAGCTTCTTCAAGCATCATTTGCTCTGTTTCCTTACTAATTAGCGTAAATGATATTGTTCTACCCTAGTTTGAACAGAGGAATTAGGTAAACAGAGGAATTAGCATTGGAGAAATAGTTTTTCAAAAATTATCAAATCCCCTTTTAATTTCAGGAACATAAAATATAAAAGAGATTATTCAATAGACGTCATGAAAAAAGAAAGAATTAATGACACCCAATATCCTTTCCTCAGCTATTAAGCATCCCTAGCTTTCAGGACAGAGTGTTCTCAAAGTCTGGTCATTTTTTCTCATGTTGGATGTAGCTAGGCATGTATGTGATCTTCAACATGTTTATACACTTTTGGACCCTCATTTACTTAGTTCAAGCTGAAAGTCATCAGACTTGAGTGCCAAAGTATCATCTGAAGAACAATGTCAACAAAGAAAAGGATAAAAATATGGAAGTAGACAATTAACAAAGGCCTTACATTTTATTTGATACATATTTTGAAGTGAAATTTGTGAAAAAATTCATCAGAAAATATGTCAAGGTGCCATCATGTCTAAAGTTATTAGAAACTGTTTGCTCTATAATTTGATCTTCGCAAATTTGCGTGAAGAAAGTTGTCTTCTCACAACTTAGGTTGTCTTTCGGATAGGGATGTCCTTTGAACCACAAGGGAAGAAGATACTCATAACCGAAACTTTTAAATCTAGTTTAAACTTCAGTTAGTTGACTTGAGATGTCACAGCCATATATTACCCGGCCATCCTGGAGGCAATACCACTTGGCTTCTTAGAGCAATGTGATTACTAGTGTAGACATTCTTAGAACGCCATGATAAAAACTTGCAAGAAATGCGATTTTCCCATCTATGGTTTTGTGCATCTACATAACTTAACTTTCTACTTACTCAAACCTTTGAAAAAAATACTTACCTTTGAAGATGATAAAAGACTTTCAAATTATGGAATTTATTTCTTGATGGACTCTTCTTGTTTTATTTTGTTTTATATATCCTCCCCCTACTTCTAAGCAGATAGATCTAAAATGGAAAGGAAGGCCCACTTCACAAATCCTTTATATTTTTGATGTAGTGTTTTTGTCTTTTCTCAGCACCAGACAATGGGAGAAATATGTAAATATTCCATTCTCAAATTATATCTCAGCTATTTCCTTGTCAATTATCAGGAAGTTGAATATTTAAGCAAATTTGTTGCTTACTTTATTGATAGAATTGTGTTGGGGTTTTATGTTTAAAAGAGAAGAAAATTCCTTGGTTAACTCAGAAACAGCTACCTTATCATCTTTTTTTCTTTTTTTCTTTTTTTTTTTTTTTTTTTTTTTTTTTACAATGTGTATGAACATGAAGTTTTTACACATAAATCAAGCACTATTTATGCTTTGGGTATGGATTGTTTCATTTTTCTTGACAATTTTTTGAGGAGAAAAGCTATTTGAATAAGTGAACATAGAACATAATTGTTGCCTTTTTATTGATAAGAATTCCTGGAGGGGCAAGTGAGGCTACACAGAAGAGATGCTGTCTAGAATGTCACTGTGTTCGTTAATCCATTCAAAACATTATTTTCTAAGTTATGACCTACTCTAAAAAAAACAGTGGAGTGTGCTTTACACTCTATTATATCTTGAAGTAATTTTGGTTTTTGGTCAGATATATATTTTTTTCATTTTGAGTAAACACATTAAGTCTTTGCATGCTGTTACTGGTGTAAATGGAAACCCAAAGTATTGATAACATGAAAATTAATAGAAAAGGCTTTAGGTTGGATTTTACTTAAAAAAATAGTTTGTATACTCAAGAATTTAATGATGCTGGTAGAGATCAATGATTTATTTTATTGTTGTTGGGCTGCTATTTCAAAATAAATCTTGGGGGTAATTGGGTAGCTAAGTCATTTAAGCATCCAACTCTTGATTTTGGCTCAGGTCATAATCTCATGGTTATGAGTTTGAGCCCTATGTCCTGCTCTGTGCTGACAGTGCAGAACCTGGTTGAGATTCTCTCTCTCTCCCTCTTTCTGCTCCCTCCACCCATGCACTAGCTCTCTCAAAAAAAAAGAAAAAAAATGAAAAAGAAAAAGAAATCTTAGGGATGCCTGTGTGGCTCATGACTGAGTGTCTGACTTTGGCTCAGGTCATGATCTCACCATTTGTGAGTTTGAGGCCCTGCATCGGTCTCACTGCTGTCAGTATAGAGCCTGCTTTTGATCCTCTGTTCCCCTCTCTCTGCCTCTCCCTGAATCATGCTTGTTCTCTCTCAAAAATAAAAACATTTTTTTAATCTTAAAAAATTAAATAAAAATTAAAAAATAAAATCTTGGTAGCATGTTTATTGATCTTAGTTTTTAAATACTCTCAATAGCTTTCCAGTGTTTGACTTATACAACCTGATCTTATTTTGTTTGTTTTAAAAGATTTTATTTTTAAGTAATCTCTACACCCAACATGGGGCTCAAACTGATGACCCCAAGATCAAGAGTCCTATGCTCTACCAACTGAGCCAGCCAGGACACCCCCAACCTTTTTTTTAAAACCTGATTTTATTTTGAAGACTTTAGTTATACTTCTAGAAAACAACAACAAACTAATTTACTCTTTTTTTTTTTTAACTTGCTGAAGATAATTTTTATGGTTCTTTGCAAGGATTGGTACAACAGTAACACTAAATTGCCTTTTTTTTTTTTTAATATTTTATTTATTTCTGAGAGAGAGAGAGAGCAGGAGCAGGGGAGGGTCAGAGAGAGGGAGACACAGAATCCGAAACAGGCTCCAGGCTCTGAGCTGGCTGTCAGCACAGAGCCCGATGTGGGGCTCGAACCCACGAACCGTGAGATCATGACCTGCGCTGAAGTCGGATGCTTAACCGACTGAGCCACCCAGGTGCCCCTAAATTGCCTTATTAAGTGTTAATTGTATATGATGGGCGTGTGAGGAACTTCAGTGACTGTCTCTTCTCTGTGCTCTCCAATATAGAAATCCCTTCTAAAATAGTCCTCTTTATCTGAACTTTTTACCCTCAGGAGGTAATCAAGGTTTATTTTTCTTTTCCCTTTGACTGCCCTATAAACCATTCTTCAATTATACAGCAAGGCTCCCACCAAATGTTTTCTTTCTGGCCTAATCTTTTCATTTCTGGCCTGAACTTTATCTCCTCACAGGGTCTCATAATTCAGTCTCCAATGTATGGAATATAAGTAGATGTTTTATAAATATTTGTTAAAATTTTAAATGACGAGAGGAGATGCCAGAAAGAATAATGAACCATAGTCCTTGTTATTATTTCCTTTCATTATTTTCATTGGCCATACCACTTTTCCATAAGATGGAATAGAGTTAAAATTTCCAACATGAGTTTCCAAAGTTATTTTCCTTAGAGATCAACAGAGATACAGTGTTTTAAAGTGGCTTTCTGCCACCTTAAACACATGAGCTCTGGCAGCATATGTGCTCTTGATTAGCTAAGTCCAATCTGTATCAAACGCTGAGCCCGATGCTCACCCAGGAGAAGCTGCACAGCCCCTCCAGATCAGACCCACCGTCCCTGCTTCGTTCCCCCTGCGTCCTGTGTCCCAGTACTCTTAGAACTGTGTCGTGCTGAGAGAATTTGCGGCAGCTACTTTGACCTGCTTGGAGTTTATTGTCCACTTCTCACATCAAATAAGCTCTCTAGATGGCTTAACATTTTCTTCCTAGATGATCCTTTTTTTCTTTAATGTTTTATTTTTGAGAGATAGAGAAAGAGCATGAGCAGGGAAGGGGCAGAGAGGGAGGGAGACACAGAATCCGAAACAGGCTCCAGACTCCAAGCTGTCAGCACAGAGCCCAATGCGGGGTTTGAACCCATGAATTGTGAGATCATGACCTGAGCTGAAGTTGGCCACCCAACTGACTGAGCCACCCAGGTGCCCCTAGATGATCCTTTCCAATAAGCTACGGTAGTGATCTCCAAAAGGAATGGATGCATCCAGGGAATGAGTAAAAGAATCCATTGGAATTAAGGAAGAAATACTTTAATTTTCTAAAATTTTACCTAATTATTTTTAATTTCTATTTTTGTACGTTCATGAACGGACACAATATATTAGTACAACAGTATAGTAACATATGTATGTAATTCATAAATATATGTGCATATAATAGGATGCATTGTCAAAAACATTCACTTGATAGAGATATGCAGTGAAACAAGTGCGGAGGCCTCTGAGCTGGAAATTCTGTCTATGACAGATGACCAGCTTGCATGTCCAGCCCACATTGGGCTGGCCACCTCACACAGAAATAATTTTACAGTGCTTTTAAAGGTCTGATATCTATTTAATGGGCAAGCATGTATTTCTTTATGTAAGAAAGTAACCAGATAAAATGTAATTATAGTTGCTCAGGTGAACTATACGGATATAAAGTTGTGATCATCACAGTTGGACTTTTTGTACAATCAGACTTCTGTAGTTCAAGTGAGTAGTATATGTAATGTCTTTGGTTCATTGCCACGTTAAAGGTTTCCAATAGGGAAATATGTTTTAAAAAAATGTAGAGTTAATATTCTTTAGTCTGGTTTGATTTATTCTGAGAAAGATTAAGTTTTTAATTATCTATCATAGAAAGATTTCAGATTTATTGAAATGTTGCTTTTATAAAGTAATATAATTATACACTTAGAGGTTTTTGTCATAATGTAAACAATTATATTTATAATGTATGATAGATTTATGGAAAAACTTCACTTCTTTCCTGAGAAGTTTTGAATGAATGATTTTGGGGGCAAAATTTAAAGGTTTATGTAAGTTTATATGTTCCTTTTTTTTATAGTGATAAAAACAAGAGAAGAACTAAAACAGTAAAGAAAACATTGGAACCCAAATGGAACCAAACATTCATTTATTCCCCAGTCCACCGAAGAGAGTTTAGGGAACGGATGCTAGAGATCACGCTCTGGGATCAAGCTCGAGTTCGAGAGGAAGAAAGTGAATTCTTAGGAGAGGTATCTGGAATTATTTTGAAGCTTAGACTATTCCTGCCCTCTTGAATACTTTTCTTTATGTGACTATCAGTAAAATCTTATATTTTGAATATCTGAAAAAGTAAATAGTTTCTTTCACAGACTGAATTTTGCTACTGCTTCAAGGGAAAACGTTGATACCATAAAAAATGGTTCTGAATACTTGGTAACAATTTTTAGGTATTTATTCCTATTGTAGAAATCTAAGTGTTGAATGAGAAAAGGTGGTTTTGCATTTCACAGGTACATTGCTGTGTTTTCTAGTGTGTCTTTATCATTTTCGTTGAGTGAACCAACTCTACTACTACTAGTTCAATCATTTATTTATGACTTATTTTTTAGGCCCTGTAATGTATCTGTAAAGTGCTAGGGATGGAGGCTTCAAAGGTAAATAGGGAATATTGTGTCCTTCAAGGAATTTATAATCTCTTAGGGATACAGACAAGTGAATAAGCAACTATAACATTGTATGGCAGATGCTGTTGCTGAGAAAATGCCATACGAATACTTGCAGTGCAGGGGAGAGGAAGTGGTCCAGGGAAGGCTCCACAGAGAAAGTGAAAATTAACGAAGTCCAGGGGAATGAAGTCCCTGCAGAGGGAATATCAAGATGTTAGAGTTGAGGGAGTCTTGGACAACTGCACTGAAATTGGAGAGGAAAGTGGTAAGAAATTAGACTCGAGGTTAATCTGACACTGCCCAGATCACATCCCTCAAAATATCATGTCAAGAAGTTTGGATTTTATCTTGTGAATGTAGGAGCAAATGATAGGTTTAAAAAAATTTTTTTTTTTATGTTTTATTTATTTCTAGGAGAGAGAGAGAGAGAGACAGTGTGAGCAGGGAAGGGTCAGAGAGAGATGGAGTCACAGACTGAAACAGGCTCAGGCTCTGAGCTGGCAGTCAGCACAGAGCCCGACTCGGGGCTCTAACCCACGAACCGCGAGATCATGACCTAAGCGAAAGTCGGATGCTTAACCGACTAAGCCACCAGGCGCCCCAAATGATAGGTTTTAAAGAGACTGGCTTGACTGCATTTGTACCTGAGAAAAACATTTCCAGCTGTAATGCAGAGAATGAACTGGAGGGGGGCAAGATGAGAGGCAGTTCTCCAGCTATTAACATTGTAATAATAAGTAATGCTTTTAGCCTTTCTCAGCGTGGTTGGTTTACCTGAGTAAGTTAAAGGTCAATTTCATGGGAAAAACAACAATCCATAGAAATGTTGAACTGAATATTCAGTAGAAAACGATGAGTGGTAAGCCAGCTGGGAGAAAGAGTAACAGGTTGTTAGAAGCGGACTGATGCCCACTGCCCTGGGTCCACATCCCTGACACCACTGCTTCCTAATCTCGTGTCCTTGAGTGAGTTATTTAATCTACTTGTGCTTCAGTTTCCTCCTCACCAAATGGCAATAATAATACTATGCAACTTAGGGCTGTTCTGAGGAGTCAATGTGTGTGTGTAAACATTTGGAACACAGTGCCTGTGACTTGGAAAGTGACTAGGAAAAATTTAGGAAGAATGAAATAACTTAGCTGTTGTGATTCTTTACCTCCTGTAGCTAAATAGTGATTTATCATTACACAGCAGTTCTCATATACACTATCACAAACGCTGTCGTCTTTGCATATGACCCTAAGGAAATAAAGAGTCATTTATTCCCATGGACTGATTTCCTTTGTAAATTTTCTTAGAAATTCATGTTATAAAAGCCAGATTATAATATGACTTGTATTAAAAATCTATTCTCTATTTTCTTTCCTGTTCTGAATTCTTAGTGGCATGATATGTTGAAACAGAGTTTTAAATAAGACAGACTTTAATTTATATTACACCTCTTTCATTTAACCAACTGGCATGAGCTTAGATAAGTTCTCTTAACCTCTGTTAGCTTTGCATTATCTCTAAAAGTTGAATAGTAAGACCAAACTAGTAGTTTTTTTTCTGAGAATCAAGATAACATATGACATGGTTCTTAGCACACAGTAGACACTACTAATTTGGTTTCTCTCCCCATTTAAGAGTTTTTGTAAAGATTAAATTACTACATGCAAATAAAAATACTTTTAAATTATCAAATAATATACAAATATTAGTTATCATTACAGACTTGTAGTAATAAACAGTTCTTCTATACTGCCAAATTTGCATTTCCCTGATGATTACTGATGTTGAGTATCTTTTCTTAATCTGTTTGCTATCTGTATTTCTTCTTTGGAAAAATATGCATGCATTCTACCCATTTTTAAAATTGGATTATTTGATTTTGTGGTTTTGAGTTATATAAGTTCTTTTTATATTTTGGATATTAATCCCTTATTGGATCATTTGCAAATATCTTCTCCCATTCAGTAGATTGCCTTGTTGAATGTTTCCTTTGCCATAAAAATCCTAGAAGAGAGCATGGGCAGTAATTTCTCTGACATCAGCCATAGCAACATTTTTCTAAATATGTCTCCTAAGGCAAGGGAAACAAAGAAAAAATAAACCATTGGGACTACATTAAAATAAAAAGCTTTTTCCCATTTCATCAGTTTTATAGTTTTCAGAGTATGGGTCTTTCACATCCTTGGTTAAGTTTATTCCTAGTTATTGGTTTTGGGGATTTTTTGTGTGCAGTTGTAAGTAGGATTGTTTTCTTAATTTCTCTTTCTGTTACTTCATTATTAGTGGATTGAAATGTAACAGATTTCTGTATTTTGATTTTGTATCCTGTGACCTTACTGAATCCATTTATCAGTTCTAGTAGTTTTTTGGTGGAGTCTTTAGGGTTTTCTATATTTTGTATCATGTCATATGTATACAGTGAAAATTTTACTTGTTCGCTACCAATTTGGATGCCCTTAATTTCTTTTTCTTAACTGATTTCTGTGGCTAGGACTTTCAGTACTATGTTGAATGAAAGTGGTGAGAGTGGACATCCATATCTTGTTCCTGATCTTAGGGGGAAAGTGCTCAGTTTTTTACCACTGAGTATGATGTTAACTGTGGGTGTTTCATATATGGCCTTTATTATATTGCAGTATGCTCCCTCTAGACCTACTTTTTTGAGAGTTTCTATCATGAATGGATGTTGTATTTTGTCAAACGCTTTTTCTACATCTATTGAAATGATCATATGGTTTTTCCCTTTCTCTTATTGATATGATGTATCACATTGATTGATCTTTGAATATCGAACCACACTGCATCCCAGGAATAAATCCCACTGACTGTGGTGAATGCTTTTTTAAACATAGTTTTGGATTTGGTGTGCTCATATTTTGTTGAGAATTTTTGCTTCTATGTTTATCAGAGATATTGGCTGTAGTTGTTTTTTTTCTTTTTTGTAGTGTCTTTATGTAATGCAAATTTAATAGTGCCTAGTTTGTGAATGGTCAAAGGTCTATAAAAAAAATCTAGATCTTTAAAACTATTAAGTCAGCAAGAAGTTATGCATATTTATTTTTTATTTAGTTATTGTCAAAACATAAGGACAACTTTGTAACATGACATGACTTTTGATCTAATAGCATTGTTATTATAATTATCATTATTATAAAAGTTAGGAGACCAATTAATAAAGTTTCTATATTATAGGTATGTAACATTCTTTTGTCTCTTGGCTTTGTAGATTTTAATTGAATTAGAAACAGCATTATTAGATGATGAGCCACATTGGTACAAACTTCAGACCCATGATGTTTCTTCATTACCACTTCCCCACCCTTCTCCATATATGCCACGACGACAGCTCCATGGAGAGAGCCCGACAAGGAGGTTGCAAAGTAAGTTTCCAGTGACGTTTATCATACGTTTGTTGAATTGTCATAAATGGATATATATGAGACACAGAATTTAAAGATACCATCATGGTATTAACAGACATCTATTAGTGTTTTCATAGATATTATTGATGATTTTCAATTGGTACTTACAACATTCATTTATCACAGTATGACCCCAAATGAAGCACAGTTATGTTTTAATTTTAGCTCTTAGAGACTTATATAGGAATGAGATAGCAGATATAGTAAAATTTGGTCATGTAGCTATAGATATCTGAAATTATTATTTCCATCTTCATTATGCCAAGTATTTTATAAATACGTAGGGTGGCAAGTATAGCATAGTAGTTGCGACCATGACCATGAGCATTATTCAGACAAACCTGAGTTTAAAGTTTGATTTTCTCACTGATGAGCCATATGACTTCAGGTGGGTTCTCTCTCTATGATTCAATTTCCTTGTTCAGAAAATGGAAGTCATACCTACATTAAGTGTTGATAAAAGAGGTTAAATATTCTGGGGAATGTAAGCTGATGTGATTATTCTTGTTAATATTTATCATCAATGTTTGCATTTTATCCTGAGTCATACACAGTACAAAATATTGAATAGATTTTGATTAATTGAAAGAATCTTAGGGGAAACTTGGAAATCTTTTCTCGATCGAAAAGTGGCATTATTGACTTATGGTTCCTACAACTCAAATTTGTTTTCCTGATGAATCTATTATTGAAAGGGGAGATGTCTACTTGCTGCTTTGGGTAATATTCATGGGATAATTTTATCTTCATGGAGTCAGCATGTTCCAGGATTAGCAACATTTTTGTCAAGTAATGGAGAACCGATTGACAGTAACTAAATTTCAGAAGTGTAAATTTATAAGCACAAAAGCCATGTCATTTATCATTAATGGGAAGTGTATTTGGCAACATAAGAAATGACTGTTGTCTGTGTGGATCATATTCTCTCTGCTGAATAGAGGACTAAATTATATATCAGCAGGCTGTTTGATGAATAGAGTATTAGAGACAAAGGATTGGTCTTATGATATTTAGTTTTAGGAAAGCCTAGAGAATTATCTTCACTCCTTTTTAAAAATGTCTCTAATGACTAGAATTTTATTTCCACTGACTACAGTCTTTTACATATGGATGCTATTAATTGAACACTAGTTTTATAGCAGTCACTTTTTTCAGCCTTTCCATGGAGTAAGCACCTACCCACTGTTATTTGCGATTGCCATTACAACATCCATTGTTGTAATAATTACACTACTATGAATTTTAGTATCTACTCTTTCTGGTCACTGTAATCTACTAAGTACATTCTCTCTAAAATCACAATGAGGATCATGGGTTACTACATGAAGTTTACTAGTATAAATCAGTTTGTACTAATTCTTATAGTTGAGGTTTATAGGCTACTAATCTAATACTTATTCCAGTTATTAGAATAACTAGGTTTGATGACTCTTAATACCTGAAACTCTTAAATATACCAACAATTTTCATTACATTTTCCCTCCCCAGCTAATTAAGAGTAGTGTATGTGAAGAATGATGAGAATAGAGTTCTTTCTAGGTAGCTATATGGATCATAGATTTTCATGTAGTTACTTTAATTTAATCAACTTTGTGAGTAATATTTAACCATCTCCCAAATGGCTCTTCTGCTACTTAATCATTAATAGTATTAAATTCCTTTATGGTTAATATGGCTTCATGTTCTACCACTCAGTCTTGTCACTACCTACCAGTAATTACTTCTAATAAAATAAATTTTCATTATTTGAACATCATTAAAATTGGTGTTTTACACCTAAAGTGTAATCATTAATTTACTAGCAAAGTGTAGGATTAATGATAAGTAAAAACATGTACATATGCACAGAGGAAATGAAGATTACTGCTTGGAAATAATTAGAAAGTAAAGACATTACTGTTGGCTGAGTATATATTGCTTATCAGTAGCAGGTTCAAGTTAGAGTTTGTATAAAAAATAACATGTTATTTTAAAAGTCAATTCATAAGAATGACCTCCTTCAGGGTTTTTCTTCATGGAGAGGGTAAATATTACACTTATTTATAAGTATCTTTTATATTGTCAAAGATCATAGTTATTAACATTTTTGATGGAAAATATGCATCAAATTTGTTTTAATTATTGTACAGTAAATACAATTATAATAATTGTATAGTTATAAATTGTAAATTTATAATTATAAATTTACAGTATAAATGTACAGTAATTATAAATGTACAGTAATCCCTCATTCTCTACCTCTAGAAAATAGGATATGTTGGTAATTCAGAATCTGAGGTGTGAACTCTGAGGCTGTGAGCTTTTTGTATGTACCTGGATATTTACTGGTATTATTAGAATTCTGTTTTCTCTGCTCATGATTTCCTATTTTAAATTTGTAGTTTCAAATGATTCAAAAAAGTACTTCATTTCTATGGACATTGGGAATTTACAATTTTAAACATGTGAGGATATATTTTAAAAACCATTCTAAAAATAATTGTTTCATATATCTTGTAGCTAACTGAAGTAGTTTTTTAAAAATCTTTTTGAGATTAGAGTCCAGGCAACTTTGATTATAAACTTTGATTTTCTTAGTAAAGGAATTAGTGAAAGTATTTGAAACAGAGGACTTCTTATGCCAGTATTTCTACAAGTAGCAAAATAAGAAGGTTCTATGTATCAAAACATCTGTAGAAAGGGCCACATGCTCATTGCTCATGTCTGAAAGCAATTAGATTATGAGAAGTTAAAATTTTAATATGGAGGGAATATTTTCTACAACACCTTTTAGCTTAAGGCTACTTTTACCCACTCCCATCCCAGATGTTATTTAGACATTGCCAAATGATGGGACAGTGCATATTTCAGTGACTGATGAAGTCTTTTTAAAAATGTGTAAGCAAGATTGGAACCATGTATTCAAATAACTAAAATTTATCAACAGAGTAGTGAGATGCTTATTTAGATCATAACATGTCTCTCATATTCACACAATTTTGTTATGATTCACTATTGAGAAACTATCCATTACTGTTCTTACACCTAAAGAGATCGTTTTTGAAGGTATATTTTTGTATTTACATTTTAATTGTTATATATTCTTTACTTTCATTCTGTTAAAGTTGCCTAGTGTCTTAAGTGAAATATTTTCCTTTTTAACATGACAGACGTCATTTACAAATTTGTTTGTTACTTAGTATCTTATTAACCATTCTCATGACAATTTGAACTATAAAATCCAAAAGGTTTCTTTTTTTAAAAGATTTTTTAATGGTTTATTTATTTATTTTTTTTTTACAAATAGTTTATTGTCAACTTAGTTTCCATTTTTTTTATTTTTGAAAAAGATTTTTTAATGTTTTATTTATTTACAAATAGTTTAGGAGTTTTCTTTTTTTGATCTTTTTTTTCTTTTCTTTGTCTCATTTTAATCAGGTTCATCTCTTTGACATCTCAAATGTTAATTCTTTATTTGGTAAAATATAACATTATTACCATTTCACTTTTTAAAATAGAAAACTTCATATCTACTGTATTTTTATACGGCCTAATAATTACAAGTATTTAAAGAAAAGTGAATGGAAACAAATCATTGCGACAGAACTAAAATGCTGGCATTGAGAGGTGTAAGATAAAAGAGATGTGATTTCATAATTAAAGTTTCTCAAGATTTTAGCTATTTGAGGGGCATTTTTGGCCAATATTTCTTCTAATTTTCTACCCCATTCTCTTTTTCTTTCCTTTTTGGACTGCAGTTGCTCATATAAAGGCCTCTTCACCTTGTTGTGCAGCTTAATGAGCCTCTTTTAATCTTTTTTCCCCTCCCTTACTCAGTTTTGATTATTTTTATTCACCTGCCTTCAAGTTGACTAGTAGTTTCTTCTACAGCATCCAATTTCCTTTGAAAGCCATAGTATGAATTGTCTTAACAAAGATGTTGTATTTTTTCATTTTAAGATTTACATTTGATTTTTTACACTTTCTATATAATTCCTGAAATTCCCCTTCTTTTATTATATCCCTGTGTGTATAATATTATGTACATATATGTCTATGATATGCATGTGTGTAAATATATTAAGGAATTTATAGGATTGCATGTAGACACATGTGAATATAGGAAAGAATCCATATAATTACATATATATACACACATGCACATATGTGTGTAATGTACATACATGTATGTGTAATATCTATAATGTACTTACATATGTGTAATGTACATGTGTGTAATTCTGTGGATTCTCTCATATATTCATAATTTTTATTTTAAAGTCTGCTAACTCCAATATCTTAGTCTTTTGTGAGTCTATTTATATTTCTGGTTTTTCCTTTGATTATGGATCACATTCTATGTATATTATATATATACTAATTTTTATTGTATACTGGATATTGTGTTTCATACATTTAAGAGACTCTGGAAGAATGCTGGGTTTTATTTTGGCACACCATGAAATTTTTGAAATATCACCCAAGACCATGGAGTTTATGTTAGGGCAGTTCTGTTTTGATTCTTTCATAGTTCTAAGGTCTAGTCCTTAGGTAGGTTTGTGGTTCTCATTCCTGAAGTGTGACCTTTCTAGGTAAAGTCCAAGATATTGGCCCAAATCCTACAATATAATGGGACTTAAGCTCTAGACTCAGTGTCCTATGCATCGGGAAGTTTCTGATCTCTTTGCATCTCTTTTAGCTTTTCATCTGTGGCTTTTTTCTTCTTTTTCCCTCTGAAGTTTACTATTTAGGCAAAGCTTTAGGGGGCTGTTGTATATAAACTTGGGGTCTCCCCTCCTCTTGCTCCCTCCTTTTCAGGATTTCCCCTACAGTTCTAGCTGCTCTGACAACTCTGAATTATGACCTCTGGTTCTTCAGCCTTGTAAGACTGAAGCTTTTTTCTTGAGCTATAGCTCCTGTGTGGTGACCCAAATTGGGAAGGCCCTGAGGAGAAAAGCTGCTTCAATTATGTGCTTTTT